TCCAGCAGCCCCCCCAGGGTGGGTTGGTGAGAGTGGAATTCGTCACTGGTGGGTGTCACCCAGTGGGGTCCATCCCTGGTGGGCATCACCCGCCTCTACCCCATCCCATGGCAGCCTGGCCCCGCCGCTGAAAAGGCCTTTATTTCCCCAAAATGAGTCCTGCAAATGCCATGGGGGGTGGAGGGGGGAGAAGGAGCGTCCCATGGCCAAGGGGTGCCTCAGCCATCGCTGTTGGGGGGATTCCTGCCCTCTCCGGGGAGGTTGAGGAGGCACAGCCAGAGCAGGGCGAGGAGCTGCCGGGACCCCCGGGCAGCTCCATGTGCGGCTGGAGGCTGGATTTCCACCCTGGAAAAACGTGGTGGGCACCCACCGAGCCCCCGTGCCAGCCTGCCACCACTGGGGATCTGCCCTGGCCGTCCATCCCCTCCTGAGGGGGGTGAAATCTGCCCCTCCCAAAGTCTGGAGTGCTCCAAATCTTTACTGCTGAGAGTCCACCAACACCGTGATGCTCATGGAGTCTGAGGGGGTTTGACGCAGGGGAGCACCCCCAGCACCCCAACACGGGACGGGGGGGGGTCCTGTGGCCCTTCAGGGCTCCTGCTGGTACTGGCCCTCGGTGGCGGTGAAGAAATCCTCGAGCACACTCTTCATGTACTCGAAGGTGGGGCGCTCCTCGGGGTTCTCCTTCCAGCACTGCCTCATCAGCTCGTACAGCTCCGCGGGGCAGTTGTCCGGCTGCGGCATCCGGTACCCCCGCTCCAGGTTCTGGATCACCTCGGGGTTGGTCATCCCTGCCAGGGCAACACGTGGGACTCGGTTTGGGTCACCCCCCACGTCACCAGGTACCGCCCTGGGGCTGCTCATCCCTGCCTGGATGTCGCACGTGGGTCTCAATTTGGGGTCCCCCCCCACATCGTAGGGAGCACCCCAGGGCTGGGGGTGCCAGGACAATGCACAGGACTCAGTTTGGGTCACCCCCATGTCACAGGTACCACTCTGGGGTTGATCATCCCCTCCAGGACACATAGAGGGCACAATTGGGGTCACCCCCATGTCACAGGTACCACTCTGGGGATGGTCATCCCTGCCAGGACACGCACAGGACACAATTGGGGTCACCCCCCATGTCACCACGTACTGCCCTGGGGCTGCTCATCCCTGCCTGGACATCACACGTGGGTCTCAATTTGGGGTCCCCCCCTACATTGTAGGGACCACCCCAGGGCTGGGGGTGCCAGGACAATGCACAGGACTCAGTTTGGGTCACCCCCATGTCACAGGTACCACTCTGGGGTTGGTCATCCCCTCCTGGACACACACAGGACACAATTGGGGTCACCCCCATGTCACAGGTGCCACCCCAACCCCCCCCCGGGGAAGCTTCCACCCCCTTCCACCGCCTCCAAACGCCCCTCCAGGTGTCTTTCGGGAATGTGCCTCGGGAAGGGGTTGGATCCCTGGCTGCGGAGGGCAGGGAGCCAGGCTGGAGGAGCCGTGTGTGCGTGCGGGAGTGCATGTCCACACTCGTGGGCGTGCGCTCGCGTGTGCCAGCCCCGCTGCCACGGGAGATCCTTCCAGCTGCCGGGAAATCCTGACCTGGATACGGGATCCGGCCGTAGGTGACGATCTCGGTGAGCAGGATGCCGAAGGACCACACGTCCGACTTGATGGTGAACGTCCCGTAATTAATGGCCTCCGGCGCCGTCCACTTGATGGGGAATTTAGCCCCTGGAAAAAACAGCGGGAGGGGAGGGAATGAAGCGTCCTGGAAGAGCTGGGATCACGCCTCTTTGTTTAATCTGCTGTGAAACCCCGGGTCAGGCTCGGTCCCTGCCGATGACCTGGGTTTGGTGGCATCCAGCCCCTCCTGTCCCCCGCTGCCCGGCGGTGGGCTGGCACCCCTGTCCCTGCAGTAGCCACCAAGAGCAGGGTCGGGTGGGCAA